CAATAAACGCATCTCCTACAGCCCTCGCTTCCGCCGGGCTTTGATTGAGAGCACCTAATAGAGTTGCTGGGGTTGTAGGAAGGATTTTGAGCCTGGTGTTTGACAGCCTCGATCTTACAGAAATCCATTATGAGGAGCTTTATCTCTGGAGTTTGGAACCATTAAATCGGGCTTTTATCGAGCCGGTGGCGTGTGGGACAGACGGGATATCAACCTCGCCAAGGCCAGCGCGGGGACGGCTGTGCCGGATTCGGGCTGCAGGTTAATAACCAAGGGCAGGGAGTTCTCTGTGGAAGAACATCTCACACCTCGCTTTAGGGAAGTGCCAGGCCTGAACTTCCAGAAAACGGGAAAGAATCATAATTTGCTTAATACCTGTTCCTTGGCGTATTCCCTCTGGAAGGGGAGCGCTGGGAATCACATCCTCTGGCCGCAAACCCCAGACATCCTGCAGGGACTGTGGTTCAAATCCTGTTGGAAACACCTTTTCATCCTTCTAGGATAGGGAAATTCATGATCCCTGCAGATTAGGCTTTGTGAAGACCCTCCCTGGGGCAAGGTGGTGCCAGGCACGGTGGGGGCTGTGCCGCAGGGAAGTTGGGACACTGTCCCCGTCCTTCAACCAAGAGATCTTTGGTTTTCCAATTTTCCTCTGGAAAACCATCCTGGTGGTTTGCCTGGCCCTGCCAAGGAGGTCCGAGGGGAGCCCAGCCGCAGAGCTGGGGGCTTCCCTGCCCGTGCGCTGCTGGGGCATCCCAAGGGATTCTCCCCGAGGGCCACAGAGCGGGGGGACACGCAGGTTCACCAGGGCGAGACGTGCTGTTAAATTCAGAAAGGAAGTGGGGTGGGGGCTGGGGACAGCAATTACGGAGCCCACAGCTGGGGATGGTTTGTGCAACCGTGTTAACGGTGGCTTGAGAAGGAACACAGTCACTGCACATGCGTGTAACATGTATGTACGTAGATACAATGCTCTGCAGAGCACGCACCAAGGTGAGGAGAGCACTTCTCCGAAAGATAGAAAAGTTCCCAGGAGCTGGGAAGTTGAGTTCCCACGTGCCTGCCAAAGCCACAAGCTAATGAATTTGTCTGCGGCAAATTAAAGCGTGTCGTTTAGAGTTTGACCTTTGAGAAGAAAATGAAAAATGCATTTCAAAATAAAAACTCACGGCAGGCTCGAGAATCAAAATGCTTCCAGCCGAAAATGCCAGGGCAAGGCACTACACCACCAAAGGTTTCCGAGTCTTTCCAAGGAAGGACCGCTCCCTTCCATCCCAGCGCAAGCAGCAGCCCCGCAGGCAGTCCCCTGCACCCCTGGCTTTTCTCTCCCCTCCTCCTCCTCCTCCCTCCAGCCCCACCAGGCTCCACAGGGAACGCGCAGGGGGTTTTATGGAGCAGTGGGTTTCCCCAGTTGCAAGGCACAGCATCAGCATTTTCACCAGCCTCGAGGCCAGGTGATGGGCTGGTCGCACAAAGGGGCTCCCCATGGCTCCAGGCACTGCTGCTCCCGCCTGCAATTCCCCGGCTTCAGGAACAGCGGGAGAGCCAGACCTGCCTGTCCCAGCTGCGATGGCTCCTGGTCATAGGAAAGGAAGGTCGAGGTGCAGCAGCAGGATGCGGGAGTGTTGGCTCCCCAAGGAGCCTGTCTGCTTCCCGTTTGGAAGAGATGCCAAACGCTCATTTTGGCTAATAAAGACACCCGGTAATGTTGCATCACCCAGCTGGCAAGCTCCCAGCAAAGGTTTCCGTGAGCCTGTTTAATCCAGGCTTTCCTCAGGCAGTGGCAATTTCATCCTCCTAAGGGGAAAAATAAGGCAGGTTGGTAAATTTGGGGGCAGGGACCACCCAGCTGCAGCCCGGGAATCTGGGGAGCCCCTTTCCCCATTGGAAAGGGCATTCTGCTGGTGCAGGCAAGCTGGTGAGGAGTGGGGGGAGCCTTTTTGTACCCCCCAAAGAAGGTTACAATGCCCTGGGACGGGGCTGACAGCCCTCAGCCCTGGGGGTGGCAGCCCCCACCTTGTTTTCCCTTTGTTCTCCTCCATGAACACTGCCCCAGGATGCTCCAGAGAACTGGGGGGGACCCAATTCCAGGCTCCCCACCGTGGGACTGGTGGCACCGTGAGCTCCGCAGGATGGGGACACGGAGGGTTTCCACCTCTCACCGGAGAAAAACACCGGCACACTCTGCCAGTTCCGCTCAGCACGTTTAATTGATCAAGGATGAGTAAAAAGTATTAAAAAACCTGGAAAACTGCTCCAGCGTGTGCAAACCTCGCCGTGGAATAGAAAATGCTTGAAAAATATTCCGCAGAATCAGATCTGCAAACTTTTGAAGTTAAAAAAAAGATCACAACACGCTAAAAATATAGAAAAGCTTAACAAAAATAAAGACATCCCGCCTGGTAGCGAACGCGTTCGCCCTCCCCGATCCGAGCAGACGGAGCTGCCTGGCGCCACCGGCGCTCACGGCAACGTCCGGGCATCCCGGCGGCCAGCCAGGACCCCCAGCTCGGTGAGGGGACTACGAGGAGACGGGGCTCGTGACCCTGTCTGCAAACAACGCGGCCAAGAACTCAGAGGAAACACGGAGAGGAGAAGTCCGAGAGGTGCATCCCCAAGGCCACGCGACCGGACGGCACCGACCGGCCCAAGGGCAGCCTCACTGGTAGAGGACCTTCACGCAGAAGGTTTCCTCGTTCTTGTCCTCGTGGTCGTTGATGTGAACCAGGATCTCCTCCTCGCCCGTGCCCTGGCTCGGGGCGAACCGCAAGCCGATGGTGTACACCTCCCCACCGGCAACCTGGGGGAGGAGGGGGCGGGAAGAGAGGTTTTTTCCCCAGGAGTAGGGGGGGGACGTACCTCAAAGGAGTCCTCCTTGAACTGCAGGAGATCGGGGCGGTTGGTGCACAAGAAGTAGAGCCTGGGCGAGGGGTAGGGGTTGGTGTAGGTGATGCGCTTGTTGCAGCCTCTCCCGCCTCCCGCCGGCAGCGAGATCTCGAACGCCTGCGGGGCGAGCAAAAGCCGTGGAGCAGGGAACAACGGGCTCCCTCCCCAAAAACCAGCTACGGAGAATTGCCTGCTGTCACCGCTGGCGCATTCCCAGAGCCTGGACAAAGGGCTGGGGGGCAATTGGGACCAGCCAGCTCATTCTCCAGCTAATTAACGGATATCCCATGGCCCTCACAGAGATAATACCCCATAGATGTAGGGGGATGCAGCAGGGGGACAGCCCTGGGTCCGGTGTTTTTCCAGCATGAGCGGCGTACCTTGGAGACAAGGGGCTGGCGACAGGAGAGGCAGAGCAGCCAGGAGGAGACGAGCTGGTGGGACTCCACGTCCACGAGGTTGAGGTAGATGAACCTGCTGCCAGCCCGCCGCGGCCTCACGCCGACGTACAGGTCCTGGATGCCGTTGGCCGGGAGAAGGAAGGCACTGTTGGGATCCACCTGAAAAGAAATGCCCCGGGAGCTGCAGCAGCCCATCACAGCTCCGTGAGGGGCTGCTTGGAGTATAAACCAGACCTGAATGCTCGCCAAAATCCCTGCACCAAAGCCATGGCGGTGAGTCCCATCGATGTGAACACGCCAGGGCTGGCTTTGCGTTGGGAAGGATGAGCCCCAGCTCCTCCCCAGCCCGGGACTTCAACCCCTCCCCATCACAGGCTTTGCCCAGGGAGACTTTTGCTTTTGTTTATGGGACAGGGAAGGAGTTTTTGTGCCTTTTATTATTCACATTCGCAATTACGACCGAAGGAAACCTAAAGAAATTGTTAATCTTCAGATGGTCTCATTAACACGGATAATTTGCCCTCCGGGGTTTCGTGCTGACGATCCTACACATGACAGCCCTAATCAAAAGATAATTATCACAAACACTTTACGGCAGTAAATCGTTCATAATTCCAAGCGGGCTGCCTTTCCCTTTCCGGAGGGGATTTTCTCTGGGCTGGTCCCAGCTCCCCACCCCCAGCTCCCCGCAGCCAAGCCCGCAGGGGTTACCTCCAGCTCGTGGGGGTGGGAGGTGTTTTTTTTTCCGCCGCGGGGCCGGGGTGCCGCGCAGCAGCAGGGAGAGGCGGGCGAGCTCCCCGGTCGTGCAGCTGACGTCCAGGCGCTGCAGCGAGTGCAGGTAGAACTGCCAGATCTGGATGGGCGCCGCCAGCCAGGTGTCCCTGGGAGGGGAGGACAGACGGACGGGGCTCACCGACGGCTTCAGGAGCCTGTTTCAGTGCTCCCCCCCATTCCTACGGCATCTCCGGCACCAGAGATGCTCTGCCCAGGGATTATCCCCCATCCCTGGAAGTGTCCAAGGCCAGGCTGGATAAGGCTTGGAGCAACCTGGTCTAGTGGAAGGTGTCCCTGCCCATGGCAGGGGGGTTGGAACTGGATGATCTTTAAGGTCCTTTCCAACCCAAGCCATTCCATGATTCTATCCGGAGTATGGTAAAGCTCTGACATTTCGGGAAGGCTCCTGCCTGGCTTTCTGCTGCTGCCCAGCGAAGCCGGCCAGGCTCAGGAAGGGTGGCGTGAGCCCCCTGCCCTTCCAATCCTCACTTTTTTGGGGAACGGTTCCTGCTACCTACGTGTAAATAGCAACAAAGAACTTCTTGATCTGCGGGCTCGGTCCTCCAGCCACTTTTAGGAAGATGTCCTGCGGCTCCCCGGGCCCCTGCGTGCGGGAAGCAGAGCAGCATTCCGACAGTTAAACCTCGAGACCAAACCGGCTAACGAGGACTCCAGGGTTTCCTTCCCATGAGCGGAAAAATCCAGCACCAGCCCACTTACGAAGGCAGATGCTTTCGGCATCTAGTTAAACTCCGTTATTAAGTTATTATACAGCTTGGCTGAGCTCTGCCTGTATTTTTAATTAGGGAAGAGGACACAAGCGACTATCGCATTCCAGGTCTGCGCCCGTAATCACATTTTGGCAAATTCTCCCCAAATTTTCTAACAAGCCCTAAATCCAATTAGCACACTAACGTGCGTTTCCGCAGCAGCAATTAGCAACTACCTTTTGTCGCCATCTACACGTACGTGCCCGCGTTTATCTTCCCCTTCTACCTCCCCCAGCTGCAAACCAAGCCCAGGAAAACCCTGCTGGAACATTGGGAAGACGCAGAGCGATGGTTGGGCTTGGCCAAAGGGCACCTCAGCCTGGCGCGGCTCGCCCCGGCATCACTCTGCCGCACGCGGATACCCCAGGAAGCAGGGAAAGTTTATCCCACATCCAGCAAAAGGCTATTCTCCTGGTTAATCACCCGGTATTTGCTCCAAGGACCAAGGCAGTACAGGCTGCTGCACGCCACGACACGGCGCGACAGCTTTGGCCGTAACAACAACGCGGCTCCTCTGAGCTGGGAGTAAAGGGCCACCCTGGCTTTTCCCGGCACGACAAACGGGGATACTCCGTGGGCGCAACCCAAAAGAACGCACAGCAGGAGGACGCAAAGGACAGACAGACCGAAGCGCACACGGTACCATGGTTTTGGTTTCGCAGATGATGTCAGGGTCGCTGCAGCGAACAAACATCTCGGGCTCCCCGCCCGGCATCCCCACCGGCGCACCTGCGGGACAGAGACCGAGGTGAAGCCGTATGGAGCGTTTTCTCCATCTGTGCTGGCTACCCTCCACCCCACGCCGACCAGGACCCCTTACCAACGGGCTACACAAGCAGGCTGGGGCAGGGAGTATAAAATTAAGGCAGGCAGGTGGATGAGGAGGGAGCAAGGAAGCAGGGACACGCTCCCTGGAAACTGCTGCCCCTACAAACCCCGGGTGCTGACTAACAAGGAAGAGCCTGACCCCCACTGGGCACACCACAGGCTCACCGGGGAGGGTGTGCCAGGGGGGCAGCCGAATGCTCTTCTTCAGGAAGGTGAGCTCTGGGTGGTAGAAGCGGAAGGTCTGGTCCACCACATGAGGCTGCGGCTCCACCTTCACGCGCAGGAGGGCGATAGGCTTCCTCACGCGCAGGAGGGCGATGGGCTTCCCCCCGCTCACTTGGAAGGAGACCTGTGCCGGGGTCAGCCGGAGAGGGAGGGAGTTGGGCAAGAGCGATGCTTCTCCTCCAGCCCCTCAAACGGGGTTTGTGCTCCCTCACCTCGATGTGCTTTGTCCGCTCGGCCCTGCTCGGCCCCAGGGAGCGGGTGGCCCTGTCGGCGTC